ATATATATTATTGAAACCAAAACCAAACCCACTGCTGTGGAGTCAGATACGAGTCACAGCTACCCCTCCTTGTGTTTCCGAGGTGGTATCACTATGGAAGTGGATTGCCCAACCTTTCTTCCAAGGAGTAGCTGGTGAGTTTGAACCACCTTCCCTCTAGTTAGCAGTCACATGCCTTAGGGACTACGCCACCAGAGCTCCCAATAGATATTATTATTATTCATTAATATAACATGTTCTTAGTTAGCAAAATATGTTACAATTGACAGCATGAATGATTTTTAGGACAAGGCAAACATAAAAGTGAAGGATTCCTTTGGAAGAACATTTTATAACCCACGGGAGTTCCTTAGAACATCTTCATGGGCAATTGCTTTTTCCACTCCAACTAATGAGCTGTTTATTTTGTATGATACATAGTTTCCTGCCACAAGCAAATTTCACTATTTAATAACGTAGGGTTCCTCCTTGCTATATCTCCAGGATTTATTCATACATTTTGACATTTTCTGATTCTTACAGATTTCAGACACAACACTTACTCAAACAAGATACTCTGGGAAGCTGACATATGTAAAATTAGTATTGCATTATCAAAATATTTTATTCTCTACATTTCCATTATCAGCCAGCATATTTAAAATGGTGCTTTTGAGAATAAATTCCTACCATTTCTTACCATCTTTGTTTTAACCAAAAATCTGATTGACCTTTACTTGCCTTGCCAATTTGATTACCACAAATATAAACATTTGTAGCAAAAAATGCATATGCTTTTATTCTTATTTCTTTTAAAACTCTACCACCTCATAGATAAAATCTTTGCCTATTGCCTAAAACAAAATCTGCTTCTTAACTAAGAGTGTTTTATCACACAGCACAAGCTGAGAATGTTTAAGCAAAATGAAAGTATTGATTCTAAGCAAAAAATATTGGAGTCATTATTTTGATTCAAAGATTTGGCATGTTCTATTTAAATGTTGTTGTTGTTATGTGCTGTCGAGTCAGAACGACTCATAGCGACCCCTCCTTGGGTTTCTGAGGCAGTATCACTGTGGAACTAGATTGTGAAACATTCCTTCTGAGGAGTACCTGGTGGGTTTGAACCGCCAGCCTTCTGGTTGGTTGAAACCAGCAGTCAAGTGGCTTAGGCACTATGCTAAATATAAGTCACGGAAGGTTGGGCAATCCTACTTCCGTAGTGATACTGCCTCGGAAACCCAAGGAGGGGTCGCTATGAGTCGGGGCCGACTCGATGGCACATAACAACAACAACAACAATATACAAATATTCTATTTCTCACAAAATACCAGATTATGAAAATGCAAACATGTTCTAGGAAAACTTAACTATCAAAAAAAAAAAAAAAAAAAATCTAAAGCATCAATCTAAATAGTGATAAATAATTAACGATAAAATTGTCAAGTCCATTCCAACTCGTAGAGACAATATAGGACAGAGTACAACTGCCCCATAAGTGTTCCAAGGCAGTAGTCTTTACAGAAACAGACTGCCATATCTTTCATATCTTTCTTTTGAGTGCAAGAATTTTCATCATATCTTTACTAATGTTTCTGATATAGTCTAGTTTTGCAATAATAAGGAAAAACATTGGAAAATAAAGTCATTCCCTTTTAAACCTAGGAAGAGAAACGAAAAGTGCATCAGAGTGACATCTTTGGAGCGTAGTCTCTAGATTACTCTTAACAAGTTGCTATGTTCTCTCATAATGTCCTCAAGTCTAATTGGTTGCCATGTCTTAGCCTCATGCCAGGTTTTAGAATTACTAGATCATTTGTTTTTTTTTTCTTAGAATAGGAGGAAGCTTGATGACAGAAAATAAAGAATATTGATTTTTTCAAACAGTTGACCTTTTGGTTAGCAGCCTAACTCTTTAACCACTGAGGCATCAAGGATATCACTAATTTATATAATGCTTCTTTATTGGTATCCTATAGGAATTTTGAAAACAATCTTTGCCAGTGTAGTAGTCCTAGTGATACAGTAGTTAAATGCTCTGCTGCTAACTGAAAGTTCTGCTGTTCATACCCATCAGCCATTCCACAAAGAGATATGACAGTCTACTTCCATAAAGACATATAGACTTAGAAACCCTAAAAGACAGTTCTACTCCATTCTATAGAGTCACTATGAGTCAAAATCAACTTGATGCCAATGGGTATGGTATGGGTTTCTCAATGTAAAGCAGGGGTTTCTGTCATAAATGTGCAAGAGTTGGACAAATTCTTTGGTTCACAATGATGGAAACAGTGAAATATAACTACACAAGAACACTCTATTAAATCAGTAATTCCATTCTATTCTGTATTTGTCAATTAAAATGTTAATTTCAACCAACAATCTATAAACTTACTTGCAAAGACCTTGAAGTATCCCTACTCAGAAAGTCAATTATGTAAACAATATTTGCAAGAAGTTTTTAAATGTTTCCATTTGATTTCCAGGGTTACGTTTCATTACTAAAGACATTAATTAGAATATTTTAATTTATTGTTTCCAGACTCATCAAATACTTTAATTTATACAAATAATATCTATTCCAAAGTACTGCCAGAAAACAGTAGAGTTCAGTGCCCAGATAACATTTCTTACCAGGGTTATCACAACTGTACTGATTTTAAAAATTTAACAAGTTTCCCAAATTCAAGTCAATGAATCTGAACAGAAAAGTGCCCTTTGATCTTATAATACCAAAATAATCTCCATTTTAATTGTAAAAAAACAGTCTTGTTTATAGACTATTTGAAATGCTTGGGGTGTTTTATAAAGTTGATTTATTATTTCATTTCCATATTTAATTTTCCTTAGAATTCTTTGATACACATAAAAATTATTATATTATTTGTTTTATATATATTCCTAGATGGATATTTTCTTCAAAATAAAAAGCAGTGAGAAAGAAGAATATTTGAATTATGAAAAGGAGAATAATCTGGTGTCAAAACAATTTTAGATATTTTTCCACTAATTATCATTGGTTCTACTCTAAGTATATTTGAATAGGTGTATTTTCATATTTAATCCACAATCTTGATTTACAGTAAAAAATATTATGTCTTATTCCCCTACAGCATTCCTTTAGTAAGTTAGAGATGACTATTGATAAATGTAGATGCCTGCAGTGAAATATTTACTCTCACCCAGATAAGTTCTCTAGTCTTTATCTTCAGTTTACACTATAATTAGTTATTTTTTTCCCAGATAGTTCAAATTAATTTATCTAATAGAGAACTATGTTAACATAGAGATAGATATTAAATTTTGGGTAGAATTTTATTTTTTTCTGACAAAAAAATATCTCTACCTACAAGCATAACTCACTTTGTACTCACTTTTCTAGTCATTTTCTCTGTTGTTTTTTTTGAATAACCAATAAATATTTTTCTAACACACAAAATCTCATGAGTTATTTTTCATTATACCATCATAACAGCCAGTAATACCAGGAAATGCCCAAAATTATTAGACAAGGTGACACATTTGGTAAAAGCATCAACAGTTTCCACAACATTAATCACAAGGATTCCAGGGAAATAGCATATTTATAAATGTAACAACTTTTTGTCAGGAGAAGGAGAAAATTAAAAAAAGTTTCTAAAATGTTGAGGGATTATCTATTTTCTAGGTAAATTTCATATATGTCCATTATCAAGGTGTATTTCACAGGGAGCTAGTATGGGTTGCTTCAGAGGTACTTTTGTAATGTCAAGCAAAAAAGTCATTATGAAAACTCAGTTTTTAGGGGAAGTAGTAGAGAGAGATAACAAAATGGAAAGCTAACAACACCCACTAGTCTTAAATCTGTCTATTATTTCTCAAAGATTAAATTAGCCCATGGTAGCTGGTAATTATCTTAAAAGATGATGAATATTTTTCAGGCCAATGATGCTGTTTTATTTGCAGAAGTATTGGCCTAAACGATATTAGAGTCATAATAGTACACAATCCTGAGCATCATTCTGGGTGTAACTTTAAATGAAAGGATAAATTAGTTGGTTTATATATCTGTGCAAAAAGAACATTTTATCTGTAAAGTGTCTGGTAATAGCATTGTAGTTAAATTCCGCTGCACCAGCTACTTATAGATTTTAACTTTACAAAGAATGATTTTTGCCCAAGGGCACTAAGTTTTCCAAATAAGAACTGATTTGGAGGTGACTTAGCAGAGAATGACATCCAAAGTAAATTTTATGTATTGTAAAAAGAGTTTGGTTCATACTCTTACTCATTGGCCTTTCTTAACTAAAAGGCTAAGTAGTTTAATTACATAAAAGTAGCAGCTCTTGTATTATATGTGAAAGAAAATTTTGAAATATTTATTTGGAACAAGACTAACTAAAGAGATACACCTCATACATTTATTTTTAAATACTACTAGTACAGGTTCTTAAAAGATAATACATGAAATCATCTGCTGTATCAAATTTTGTCTCAAAGGTTGAACTCTGTTATTTTTTTCTTCATTTCTACCAAAAGATAATCCAATAATTATGGCAAGACTCCACCGATATCTACATACAAAATCTAGAAACATAAAAACAAAACCCAGGCAAAACCCTACACCTATCAAAAACCAAACAATAAAGCCAAAAAATTTTCACAATTAAAAATTCCAACTTTACTAAAAACTCTTTATTTAAACACTATTACTGCTCCACAACAATTTTGAGAACACTTCTACATGAACTCTTTTCATAGAATGGTATGTTTTTAGCTTATATTCACTACTTGTTGAAAATACCCCATCTAGAAAAGTTCAACCAGTAAAGACAAATGGAAAACATATATTTTCTGTTAGAAAATTTGACAATTATAACACTGTATTATCTAGTGATCTATATACTGCACACCCACATAAAATGCTTACACAATTAAACCTCACCTGAAATAGCAGTACTTAATATTTCCATGCAAAATCTTCAGTCCAAACTAGCATATGTGAGATCATCTAATGTCTAGAACGTGGTAAATCACCTACCTTCATACAGGGCTTTAAAACCTTGGGCACTCACAGCAAAGTCTGTCGTGAACCAGAGAGTGAGAATAGATCCTGTGCTCACTATAGAGGAGGGTAGCTGAAATCCTGATAATCTAAATTTAAAAAGAAAGATATGAATATAATTAAAAACATATATTTGTTAATAAAGCTTATTTCATAAGGTAATTTGTTAATACTTTAAACTGCTGTCTATTTATTTGAGGTAGGTTCACTAACCAATGAGATGATTCACAGACATGTTTCGTTAGGCTATTGACATTAATGGCTTTTGTGTGTCAGAGTTTTTTATTCTAAAAATATTTGAAAGCATTCTTTCTTAAATAATTATATAATGCACCACTGTCTTAAACAGCACAATGCAAACTCATCCTTAAACATGTCACATAAAACAATATGATATTGCATGTACTTCTGAGCTTGTCCTTTTCCTCCTAAATTATTAAGTAGTGGGTTGTCAGAATTCTTAATTAATGTGTTACTTTTTACTAACTCCCCCAACTAATTGTTAAGAAAACATACTACTTAAGAAACATACTTTCTTAAGAAAACATACTACTCACAGCATTATAAATAAAAATCAATTCATATCTTGACCCGAGACCAAATGAATTGATTTTAATGTTTGTTCTTCAAGTCAGTCTCTTGTATGTTAAGGCAGATTTTGTCCCTATCTCTAGGTTTAGATAAGGAGCTCTGGTGGGACAAATAGTTAAGCTGTCAGCTGCTAACCTAGAGGTTGGTAGGTAAGAGCCACTCAGCAGTTTCACAGGAGAAAGACCTGGAAATCTGCTTCCATTAAAAATTGTATCCAAGATTACCCTATGATGCAGTTCTACTCAATCACATAAAAAAAAAAAAAAAAAAAAAAAAAAAAACCTCCTGCTATAGAGACAATTACAACTCATAGTGACTTCCATAGGTTTTCCAAGGCTTTAAATCTTTGTGGAAGCAAACTGCCTCATCTCTCTCCCAAGGAGTGACTGGTGCTTTTGAACCACCAACCTCCTTTTGGTTAGCAGCAATATGTCTTCCACAAGGCCACCAGAGCTCCTTACTCAGTCACATAGGATGGCTAAGAGTCAAAATCAACTCAATGGCACCTAACAACAAGAACAATTATATTTGGATATTTTTAGAATCGATAGTGTTGAATAAAAACAGAACTCTGGATGAGTGAACTAGTACAGTAATATACATTGTTGTTTTTGAGGCCCTTGGAGTAGATTCCTACTAATAGCGCCCTGGTGGGTGCAGAGTAGAACTGTGCTCCATAAGATTTTTAAGGCTGTTATCTCTTGGAAACAAATTGCCAGGCCTGTATTTCAGGGAGTCTCTGGATGATTGTGAACCACCAAATTTTCTGCTAGTAGATCAGTGTTTAACTGCTTGCATCATCTAGGGGATTTTGGTCTTATGCACAATACTACTTGCAAATTACTTTAAAAAACTAACAGATTTTCAAAGGGTCAAAGAGATGTTTTATCAACTTATATTTTACCCAAAGTTTTAAATAAAATAAATTTGTCTAAGGATATGTTCTTAGACCCAAAGACGGATTTCAAAAGGAATCAACCTGAATACTAATTCCCTATAGAGGAAAGTCTGGCTGTTCATTAAGTCCATGATATTAAGTATCTCATTATAGCTGCTGTAGGTTGCAGACTCAATGTGCTGAACCTTATCAACATGATTTATTATGTCAAAATATAATGTAACAATAGATTAATAAAGGCAATGACAGAACCAATGAGCTGAAAAAACAACAATGATAAAAACCATGCTTAAATAACAAAATACTTCTACACATGTTGCTAATATATATTGCATAATTTATTATTTTTATTTTCTGTTTAAATATGTTCTAGGATCTCTGGTGGTATAGCACCTAAGGAATTTGATTGGTAACCAGAAGGCTGGCAGTTCAAACCCACCAGCCACTCCTTGGAAGGAAGATTGGGCAATCTACATCTGTAGAGATATCAGCTCAGAAACCCAAGGAGGGGTTGCTGTGAGTCAAATTGATTTAATGGCATGAGTTTTGTTTGGCTTTGGAAACATGTTTTATCGGTTAATCTAAGATTTTTATTTCAGATTTAGTTTTAAAAACTCCATATACTTTGGTTTTAGATAGTTATAATCTATTGTGAATCTATAATTTTATATATATTATTTGAAAAACAGATTTATGTTATTAAAATATAAATAAAAGGAAAATTACATATTATATACAATATGTGTGCATTCCATATAATGATGTTTTATATTTTTTATTGTTGTTGTTGTTGTTATGTGCCGTCGAGTCGGCCCC